ATATGCATGCATATGTAGGAATTGGTAATCATGCTTAGCAAAGCTTAGTATAGATTATTAATGATGTATTACAATCCCATCCAAATAATGGAATTAATCCAATTTCTGAGCAGAAAGTTGTGAACCATGTGTGCATTACGCATTGCATTATGAAACTTTAATTTTTCGATTTTAATTCATGAGGAGAAATTTTATACAAACGAGGTTCTGCTACTACATCTTTTATAAAATAAAAGTTCTTTCCGTCTGTTTTCAAGATTAGCGACAAACAAGTTACGTAAAAACGAACAATTTTGTGAAGGTTTTTTTTTTCGTTAGAAACAAAGGTTTTCAAGATGTTGCAAAAAATATTGTCGTTTTTTGCAATTCATAATGAGGAAAAGCTGCCCGAGCAAGTTCTAGAAGTTATCTCAAAACCGGAACTTCCGAATCATCCTTATTACCCAACAGATCTCAAGGTATATAATTATGTCGTTTAAAATCTTTTTAATTTGTTTTGTCTTCAATTTGCTAATTTAGATTTTTTTGGAATTGTTTAAAGTTACCAAATTTCACTGAAAAAACATATTCAATGGAATATTTAATCGGAGTTTTTGCAGCAGCGACGATAACAATCACTTTAGTATTCTTTTCAATTATTTCCCAAAAACGAAACGTTAGTGGATTAAATAAATTTGCATTTATATGGTTTATTATAACCGGAAGCATTCATATATTTCTTGAAGGATATTTCGTATATTCTCATGAAACAATTCAATCTGATAATTTTTTACTTGCTCAAATGTGGAAAGAATATTCTTTAAGTGATTCAAGATATTTGACTTCTGATTCATTCGTGGTTAATATGGAAGGGATCACTGCGGTAACAATTTTTTTTTTTTTTTTTTTAAAAAAAAAAAAAGAATTCTCGTGGCTAATCATTTTTCCCTTCATTTTATTTTTTTTTCTCGTGATTTATTAGGTTTTGTTGGGACCAGCATCTTACTTTGCGGCCATAGGGATACATCAAAATTGGCCATCACGACACGTTATACAATTGATAGTAAGTTTAAGTCAATTATATGGATTAGTATTATATTACGCGACGACATTTTTTGAAGGATTCCCTCATTCACGTCCCGAACCTTTATATTTCTGGGGTTATTTCTTTGGAATTAATTTCTTATGGTTTTTGATACCTGGCACTTTAATCTTGCAAAGTTGTTTATACTTGACTAATACTGTCCGTGAGGTTCAAAAAAAAAAAAGTAAGAAAACCAATTAAAAAGAATACCCTTTTCAAAATGTTCGAGATTTTTTTATATTTTTAAATTACTATTATTATTATATTATTATTATTATTACTATAATTAATTTATTTAAATTTAAATTTTAAAAATAAATTTTTTATTGAGGAAAATGTAAATGATTACACCAGGGGATATCAATATCCTCCGTTATTTATCACGTAATTTCATAACTCTTCACATTTATTTTTTTATTTTGAATTTATGTCAAATTCTTATTTGTCATCCTTTTATGTCACGCGGTTGAATTAGGTTAGGGGGTATATAGTTTATTAATAAAAATTTTATTATTTATATTATTATGAATATGGTTGTCATTATGATGGTTGATGATAATCCAATAACATTAATGTTTGATAAAATAATTGATAATCCATTATTAGTGGCGTAAAAGAAAGGAGGACTTGTTGGTATATCATTTGGTGGAGGTGGTTTGCTTTTAGTGGAACCAGGACTGGGAGAAGGAATAGGAGGAGTTGGTGGTATGTAAAGTGGTGGTGATGGTTTTCCTTCAACAAAGGAAATCGATAAAGTAAATTTTTTTTCAGCATTTTGTGGATTCGTTATACCTATACATACTATTAGGCTACTGGCAAAAGGAGGAATTTTCTCTCTTTTACATTCCAATGCAGGAAATTCGAAACATGATAATTCTGGCCAATATATTGATGTTATCCCATTTGGATCTATAGATTTTTGTATACCCGTATAATTGGTTACATATGTCAATAAACCCAATATGCCTTGCTGTATTGGCGGAGGGGTAGGTCCTTGTGCGTACGTTCCAAAATTTGATGATTTCTCTTGATCAGTTTCCACCACTTTCATCTCATAACCTAACAAAATGGTGAAGTTTGTTAAAAAAAAAAATAAAATACTCTAAATTGCTGAACGAATTAAAATTTACATACTTATATAGTTTGTTAATTGTTTGCTACAAGTATACCATGTTTGTGTCGAAGCTAGAACTCCTATACCTCTATATACATCATCTTGTGCTCTTATTGTCGGTATACCCTAGAATAAATTAATTAGTAAAATGATTATTTTCTCTTTTGAGAATAAAATGTCTTTTTTCAGTTCTAAACTCACTTGTAATATTAGGAAAAAATTTATCACACATATAATTACTTTTATATTATTCTTCATATTTGTTAATTTAAACTAGCAAGTTTTTAAACCCGACTAAAATTCCCATTTTTTTTTTTTTTACATGACCAAAAAAAGTTTTGCACGTGATCATTGTACGATAAAATTTGTACACACTTTTCGCTTAATTTAGATTCTTTTTATAAAATAATCAATGTTAAAATGTCATTATTTAATGTTTAGGTGTTGGTATTTTTTATTATTATATTTATTACTAAAAAAAAATAAATTAAAAATCACTATACTAATATATTTATATTTAATACTTATTTATTAGAATTTTTTATTAAAAATATTATAATAAATTTCTTTTTAAAACTTGTAAAGATATGTTAAAGAAATACTTTATATTAAGGTAAAAAAAAAAGCGATTTTACTATAAATATATAAAGAATATTATTTTGGTATTTATTGAAACTTATATAAAAGTAAAGTTAATATACTATAAATACTTAATTAACAATATTACAAAAAGTTTTTTTTTTTTTTGTAATTTATTGATAACTTATAGATTCTTAATAAAATCTTTTATAATATTATAATAATATCAAATTTTTAGATTTTATTTAAATCTATTTAAATTATGAAAATTATAATTCAGTATACAGTCAACTCTTTCTACAACGAATTTTGATATAATGAATTTTACAATACAACGGATTTTCATTGTCAGACAGATT